ACAGTCTATCATAGGTCCAGAGTTAGTGACTCATTGCCATGGAAACAGAACATTCCGGTGCATCCTCGATAGATTTCGAGGCCGGTGAAGCGAAGACAAATACTACCACAAAGGATGAGGAAAACGGGGTAAATGGTGTGGTGAGCAAGGATCGTGATGACACCGTGGAGGATTCACTGACGTGTGGATGGTTCAACATACGCCCGTCTTGGTTACAGCGATTCAACAAGGCGCCATGGTTGGCGTCAGCAATCAGTGCACTTATGTTCGTCCAGGGTCTAACAGTGAATGGATTCGTTTACATCAATCTCTCCACGATAGAGACGCGATTCGGATTTCCTAGCGTAGCGACGGGGTTACTAGTGAGTACGTACGACCTCACTGTAGTAATGCTTATTACGTTTGTGTCTTACTTCGGAGCAACTCGAAATAAAGCCCGGATGTTGGGAATAGGAGCGGTCATCATGGGATGCGGCTCTCTGTTGTGGGCAGTGCCACATTTCACCACGGGACTCTACGAATACGACACGGCATATGAAGACAAGACAACCCTGTGTTACCCCCAAGCAAATTCGTCTATCTCCACAGATTGTGATGACGGTTGGCATTCGTTGTCGTATTATTTCATTGTGTTTGTATTCGCCCAAATTCTTCACGGAATCGGAGCGTCGCCGATCTACACTGTCGGGTACGCCTACTGTGACGAAAATGTGAGCCATAGGAAATCGTCGTGGTATACCGGTATGTCTGTCTATCTTATAATAACGCGAGACATTTTTATATTGATAGGATATGTGATAATAATAATACGATGTCTCATAATAATAACATGATATTACGCATGATTTATTAGATAAGGGTATGCAACACCAAGCATCGACTGAGAACGCCACCAACGGCAAAAACAGTCGATCCTCAGAAAACGTCATTTCTTGAGACGGAATAGCTTCCCGATGCTCTGTGGCACAAGCAAGTAAGTGCTTGGCAAAATAAACATAATTCGTCATCAACAAATCATTGTTTAATTTCCAGCATTTGTTGACTCTGATCACTCAGAAGCCAGGACCACGACTGATTTACGACTTCACTAATTAAAATAACTCCACCCTCCCAACAACAAACTAAATTTATTCAACCAGCTGTTTTAAAGTTTGCATCAAGAAATTGTGGCCAGTCCCATCATCAAGGTGGTGTAATTTGAAATTAACTCTACGAAAACCTGTATGAATTACAACAATTTATTGTCCTTATTCCATACTTGACCTAAATGTAGTTGCATAACCTTGTCTTATATTATACAACACGCGCGTATTAAAATGCAACACAAAAGTTGACATCCTAACACTTGTGTGGATTGCCAATTAAATCATGATTACGCTGATTGTAATAACATCATCAGTCAATACAAAACAATATAAAACTATAGTGTTTGTTTCAAGCTATTTTTCACCGCGTTTATTCGCAGGCATATTGAGTGCGTTCTCCATCTTTGGGCCCACTACTGGTTTCCTGTTAGGTGCTATATTTCTCAGCATATGGACGGATGTTATGTATGCAGATGAGTAAGTACAGCCACGCTATGTTTCCAGCCGTCTTTCATTCGTTTTTAAAAGCGGGGGAGTCGTCACCTACGCATGCGTCACGTGGCAATAGCGTGTCATTGTTTACAAACAAGCGTCTACCCATGAGCCTTTGCGTTTTTAGCATGCTTTGTTATCATTGCATGGAACTCAATTCCCGCGCGTGCGCAGGTGACGACCCTCCCGCTTTAAAACTTCTCCTAAGTTGCTTTGAATGTCTCTTATCTCATCTCGGGTTACGTGTTTGTTTGTTTATTTCACACCAGCTCACATACACACACACACACACACCCAACCACCCACCCACCGACCCGAATATGAATAAAAAGCATTCACAAAATCGACACAGACGACCGTGTGCATAACATGTTATGTGTTTAATGTTCGCAGAGTAACTATAACGCCTGACGACCCATCGTGGGTTGGAGCATGGTGGATTGTATTTCTCATTGGGTGGGTTTTATCGTGGATCATAGCGGTACCGATGGCGGCATTTCCACCTATTCTACCAGGTAACATATCTGCAGTGTATATCACCAGGGGCGGTAGCAGTATGAAGTACTGTAGAATGCGTTGAAATAGTTACATGCAATTTTAGGAGATTTGAATCTCGGCATGAATTAACAGAATCTTGATTTAGCTAAAATGTCGACTATCTTCCTGTGAAAATATACTTTCTGTTAAATTAGCTGCATCTTGAATTAGCGAAATTACAGATTAGCTGAAATAGCTAAAATACCATGCTAGCTAAAAAGACATGTTTTACAGTATGTATAGAGGAAATCATTATTTAATAATTTCCATGTGCATGTACATTTTTTTTTTTGACTATGTGTGCATTTTATCGTTGCAGGCTGCAAAAATACAACTTCTCTAAG